TTCGGCCAGCGAGTCCAGCGTCGCGGAGAAGGTCGTTCCGAAAGTACAACGACCTGATCGTTAACCCTCTTTCGACCGTCCGCTGTCACCAGGGTGCAATAGCCGAGGACCGCTGCGCGTTATCATCGTATCTCGCTCCGTACTTGGCCGCTTCGAAATCGTTACATTATCATCCGTCTAGAGAAAAAGGAAAAACACAAAGGAGAATTCAACGAACATCTTTCGTCGCGTGAAACCTTGCAACGTAATCGATAATTTGCATATATTTACATCTGTCGCATCTCCGTAATCACGGAGGCTTCGCTCGAACTGTAATTGTCATTTTTCTTCCTTTTTCCACGGGCAATTAACGGAAACACTCTTTGCCGGAATCTTCCGAGACGTTTCGCTACGCTGTTTTCACAGTGCAATTAACGACCAAGTCACGCTTCCTCTCTCGCGTCGAGCGCTTCTGCTTCTTCAAGGGTACACCCGCCGATCGTCGTATTTTCTCCAACCGGCTCGCGATTTTCAGGATCGTGACGTAACCCCAGGTTGCATAATGCTCGTGCAAAGAGCCGGGCTGTGCACGCGTGTCGTCGCAACTATTCGTGTCAACTGTTGTTCTTCGAGCGACCCTCGCGCGGCCGTGCTAGCATCCTTGAAGCTGGAATTTATGGGACGAGGACGCTGGCTAGGCACAGGCAACGTTCGATACCGCTAACGATCTCTTTCGGTAGCGCTCGCAGAGTTCATCGAACAATAAAGAACACGGCGTAACACGGCTGACTGGACGCCTCGAGAGTATTATAGGAGGCCTTGCATCCGCCGATCCATCCGATGGATCGTTCGGTGTAAGAGAGAGAGGACGCCTGGCGTTGTAAATCACATCGTGCCGCGAATACCCTCGGCGTTCAAATAAATTTTCGCAGTAGCGCTTTCGAAACGACGAACGCTGGCGGGAAAGTCCGCCTTACTAATGAGGAGGCAGCGCGCACACGCACGTTTTACCTTTCCTCCCCTCTGTATTTGATATCGTAGCCGCGTATTTAGTTGCCTAGGGGGGCTAACAGTGTGTTTAACTTGAGGGAACTTTCCGTGAGAATTACAGGCTTTACTACTAAACACCCGTTCCTTCTCTCTGTCCGTGTGTACTTATTGCGATTCGAAGCGGTGACACGTTGGTTTCTAAGTCGGTGCACGCGGCGTTGAACGGTGAAAAATCGGCGCGGACGAGGGCAGAAATTGCACGGGGCAAATGGAGTGGCTTTTAGCTGTATTTATCCTAAAGGACGTTTCAGCGTGAGGAATTTTTATCGTCGTCGGGTTATTGAATAAAATTTTACGATAAGATACAGTCTGCATCAAGGGACCGGCATAACACGCGCGACCCTCGTGTCCACACGTTAGAAAGACGGCAAGTGGGACGAAGACGCCGATTTAAGGAATCTCTCTTCGCTTAGAACGCGACGAGACGCGTATAACACAGGCCTGATCGACCGAGCTGTCTTCGAACAGACTCGTAAAAATGCTTGGCGCGAGGGTTTTCGATGGAATTAAGGGACCACTCGATTCACATTCTCGAGAATGATGTACGAGCCTGCATTATACTCGACAAATTGCTATATATCAAACTTTTTCCTCCTTCCTTTTTACCCGCGGTCGGGTACACTTATCGCGAACCACTTTAGCACACGAGTGGTTCTTCTTGTCAGAGGAAGAGAGTGTGTGTGTGCGCGAGATAACGTAATTGTTTTAATTCAGTTCGTTCCAATTTGCACCGATTGATGGACTCTAAACGTGGCTTGCTCGTTTCACAGCGAGCCTAATGGCGTCCTGAACGAAGAATCGAATTTTCCCTCCCAGCAGCTGGCGTATGTGCAAAATCGACTGGTTAACCGCGATTTCATGTCACTTCTCGAGGGCGTGCTTCCTGCCCTCCTGACTTCGCCACGATGGCCCATTAAAGCCTGAGGAAGCAGGCTTGGTCGTCGCGAACCGCAAAATCGTGCTATCTGGAACGGTGCTTTCAGCACGGTCTGTACTCTCGACGCGTCCGCGAGAAAACTTATCGAAATTTGCGGTTACCGAAGCAGAGGAAACGGGAAATTTAAGAAAAAAAGAAGA